CTTGTGCAGCTGCTTTTCACTGGGCTCAAGGCTGCAAAGCCACTTGGAGACCTGGGGAAAGTTGCATGTTGGACTGCACCGAGGCCGGTGCCACTGCCTCTGCTAACCTAATGCTATTTTCCCGTCTCCTTTATGACATGGGAATTGTATGAGTCTACCTTGTAAAATGCAGTGATATGCTTGCAGAGAAGATCCACCTGAAAAGTATCAATATTTATCTGTGATTCAAAAGGGCATCCTGTAGACTGGGAGAGGAAAGGCTGGTAGACTGCACACCTGGACCAGCCAACGTACCAGCTTGGTGGGGTGCGTGCCTGAGAGACGGCGCTTCAGAACAGGGTGTGCAGTATAAAAGGAAGAAAAACAAACAAACAAGCAAAAACCCCTACAGTGAAGCTTTCCAGGGGCTTGTCTGCAGGCTATTTCTCAAAGAATCCCAGAACAATCATAAAATAAAATACAATAAAGTTTTGTAAACTGAAGGAAGAAACTGCATTGCCCTCAAAAACTGCATTGGTATAGTGATGCTGCCACACTTATAGGTGCAAATAGGTGCTGTAGGTACAAATGTGTGCTTTTCTCACTGCTTCAGTAGAGGAGTGAGGGTGTCCTTCACTTCGGCCAGGCAAGCTTTGCAATTGCTGCTCCACTTTAATGCTGGAACTGAAGCCTGGGAAGTGACAGGCCAGTGATGACTTTGTGGCGCCGCTTTCGGTCTCTGTTACTTCTGTAAGAAGGGCTTCATATAACATAATTACAAATAAGGTGGAGGGAAGCATTGTTGCCATAGTCAGAAGTCTTAATGTCTTGCTAGCTTTTTTTTTTTTTAAAAAAAGGACAATAAAGCCTTTTTTTCTTTAAGTATTTTGTAGTTTCCCTCAGCGCTGTTACCCACACATCGACTTGACTTTTTTCTTGGCCTTGCACACATGAAATAGGAAGCCAGCAATTTTAATAAATACAGACTTTTCTGGCCAGTTGAGATGAACATAGCTAAGGAGCTATGTTAGCATAGGAGCTGGACCTTGGTGACTTTCAAGAATTATTCATCTATCTGCTGGGTCAGGTTCTGATCAGTTATTTTAACACTTCTATATGACACACCACATATCCTTGTGAGGCCAGGAAACAGGATGACCCAGAAAGCCGCACCTTTGGTTTGCCTGCCTGGGCAATTCTGGAAGTCTGTTGACCTTGCTTCCCTCTAGATAAAAAGACTGAATAAACTGCCTCCAGAAGAGGCAGAGATCATACTACTTTTGTAGTACTGCCAGCAACCACTAGCCTGGGTAAGTCACCTTTCCCTCACCCCTGCCATCCCCAGAAAAATAGCAGCATCCAGTGTGATTTTTGGAAAATCCACCCCACTGGCTGGGAAGGCGTTAGGAAAATCCACCTCTGTCTGTGAGTTTCTTTTTTCATGCTTTAGCTCCTCATGGATGATACCCACATGAAACCATTCTCATTGAAACTCACTCCTGGGCCTTGGGTGCCCCAGGCCAGGGCAAGAGGCATGGGCATGGGCTTATGGCATGCCCCTCTCGGCTTTGGAGGAGGAGGAGGTCTGTGACAGCTTTTCCCATCACGATTTAAAAAGAAGAGGGGGAGGGCATCCACTTCGCAGTGGAAGCAATTTGATACATGGCAGCAACCCACAGGGAGCAGGTTTGGGCTCTTGGGGAAGGGTGGGGGGTCATCTGCAGCCGTAAAGCAGCCTCACTGCCCCCGACACATCGGCAAGCGGGACGGGGGCTGCTGGACGCAGAACGGAAAGAAAAGGGAGTAGGGGGAAAAAATCCTGCGAAATTATTTACCTGACTTTGATTTCTGCACAAATCTTGCCCTGAGAAGGGCACAGCTGTCGCTCCCTTTGTCAACATCAGCAAGTAATTATGTAAAGAAAAACATCACTGTACTTTTGACTTTGTTGCTTGTCATGACGGTCGGCGACCGATAGATGGACCACTTGGATTACACAAGCTAGTCAGCCGGTGGGGTAATGCAGAGCTGGAAGGTCTCCTCTCTCTTCAGCTAGGCTTGTTATTTTTTTCTCCTAATAATAGAGTGAGAATTGAGAAAGAGAGAGAAAATTAGCAGTGGAAAAAGCAGCTCCTCTTGTTGAATAGACGGTTTAATTTATTCCTGAGCACAATGTACCTGAGGAGTGATAAGAAACAAGTTTGATATCATGCTAAATAAATAAAAAAGAGGTTACATAACCCAATTTTCCCTGAGTCTTACAGCAGTTTCTATTTTCTCATTTCATTTAACCAGAGCCAAATTAATAAGAGGAGAAAAGTAGGGCTACCTGGAATACTACAGGATTACTTGAAAAGAAAAGGAGGTCTTTAAGCTAATGATTTTGTTTCACAGCAGTTCACGACGGCTGAGCTCCAGCAGAAGCCGCCGGACGCAAAAAAAAAAAAAATAAATAATAAAAATAAGTGTCCTTGGTAACACTTGCCAGAGCATGATTATGGCCTGTCAGGTGCCTAGAGGGAGAGGCAATAGCTTAGGGTGGTTGCTGTAGTGTCTATGTGTTGTTCCTACGGTAGAAGAGGTGCAATAAACTTTGATAAATGCCCAAGATTTCAAAGGCAGCTGATTAAAACAGATTAAAATGATTTAATTAGCGGGAGAGTGCAATGAGCCCATCAGCTGGTACTTTTCTCCCCACTCCCCCTTCTGGTTCCCTAAGAGCAGAACTAAGGAGCAAAGAAAGCAAAATATGGAGTAAAATTTGTATTTATTTATTTATTTCCAGATTTCAGTTCTGCTTATTTGTGAAATGAACCACTACTACAGCTGCAAGGAGAGGAGCTGACGACACCCACACACCACCCTTCGCCAGGATGTCTGAATTTCACGTGTAAGAACATAGAAACCACAGGTCTGTCACCAAGGGAAGGAGGCTTCAGGCACGGCTTTTGCATTTCATCTCTAGATATATTTTTAATAACAGCCTAGAAGGAACAGTGGATGCAAGGGTTTACATGTAAAATTTCCCATAAAAACAGTGGTAGGTGATTTTATTATTTTTTACCTCCTGTTCCACTGCAAAGGAGTAATATACGTATAGAAAACACAAAAAAAATCCCTAAAAGCAAAAAAAAAAAACCCTCAAAACTGTGAGGAGGCTTTCTTTGCACTAGTTTTACTTTGGTGAGCATAACAAACATTAAACCAAAGAGTATGAAACCGAAAAGTAGGGTGTCAGTATCTTTCTGATTGGCTGGAGGGTGAGGGCGAGGGGGAATTATGTTAGTGCAGGAACAGAGCTTGCAAAGCTGCTGTGTGTTGTACTACAACAGCTTCTCTTGGACTAGATTTTCCTGAGAGGCTTAAATTGTCACAGTAAAAGGGGAAGGTCCTACCCTCTTAGGCTGACGGGCCCACTCAGCTTTCACTTGCGCATTGTACTTTACTTTTCAGTCCTTGTCCCCAGGCTGAGCTCAAAGGCCACGGTTAATTAGAAGACCTGATGCATCGAGAGCCTTGGATCCGGCTCCCCCTCTGAATGCTAATGCCTGTCTGCCAGCCGCTAGTCCCAGGGCGTAAATAACTCTTGCGATGGTCTAGCGCGGAACTAAAGCTCTTATGTTACACGCATTGTAACCATGCTGCTGGAAGTGAACTTATACATGCAAAATGTGCATCAATAAACAGTGACAAATGTGACCTGATTCCTCTGGCGTTAGGCATTTCGACTGGTATCTTTTGTGTTTGGAAAGACCTGGAATGGGAAAACAAATTAATCAGTATTAGAGATTTTGTCACCACTTGGACTTATTCGTTTAAAAAAAGGAAGAACCTCTTTGCTTGTGCAGCATGTTGAGGGACATGAGCCTTTAAGAGGCAATAGGTGCTTTTGACTTGCTTCTTGCAGTGTTTACTGCTTTCACGCAGCTCAAATAATGATAAAGCTTGAGTGCCTTTGGTTCAGCAAGACAGCATGTAGTTCCCTGTTTGGACATCTGTGTGTCAACATATCTACTTGTCCCAAAGTACAGTGTAACACACAGGGTTACAGATAAATCTTTGTGGTGCACTCCCTGCCATCAGGCCAAAGGCACTGACAGCATGAAACGTGTCTCAGAGGTCAAATGAAGCAGGCAGAGGGCACTGCACATGGTAGAGTTACGCTGTGATGTAACTATCGCAGCTGATTTACCTTGACTTTAACAATAGGCTTTCCACCATAAACAAAATAATACAGTAGCATAGCGTGCTGCAGATAGGTTTTGCACTGGATTGTAGGCTAGAAATGCATTGCAGATGGCATTTACTTAAAAGATAAGTAAACTTCTATTTTTGTTCCTGCTTAGGAATTTAATTAGGAATAAACCTAATTAAAAGCTAGGCAGAATGTTTTCCTCTTCACTTAAAAAATTAAGGCTAGTGACAACATCTGTGTTACATAATTTATTATCTGTTGTGTACAGTTTCCCAGCGTATAAACTGATATACAAAAAACCTGCAACCAAATAATTAAACAGCATTCAAACACTAATCTAATTTGGGATAGGATAGTTCAGTATAATTTCTTGTCTTCAAAGTATTGCTCTAATCCCATTCCAGAACGCCATCTGACCTGTGTTCGGCTGTGGATTACTAGGGGTAAGTTCACCATCCATATACCAGCTCTGTTGTTAAATATGAGCTGAAACTTCACCTGAACAGATATTGGGATGTCAGTGTTAGAGGAAGGTCCCACTGACGTCCAGAGAATCCAGGTGAAAGATGATTTTGGGGTTCATAGCCCTGGATCGCACAGGGGATGGACGTCATGTCTACACCTTATGGCGAATGGCAAGGATAGCAACTATAGCAGTAATACTGCTTCTGGCATGAAGTAGTATTTTCCTTCAGCTTTCCATCCCCAGGTGTTACTTAATGCAGAGCACCATGGGAATCCTGTGGCAAGGACAAAAAGGAATGACTGCTCAGTGGCATGTCACGGCCCACTTTAGTCAACTTTCTTTCATGTTACACTCTGTCTCTCTGTTCCTCTCCCCGTTATCTTCCACTGCAGCGAATTCTTTAGGCAGTTCCCCTCCTTCTTATCATCCTGTTTTTTAAGTCTTGGTGGTAGTAGCACTCTCCTGGGAGGCTCAACACTTCCAGAGGAAGCTTAACCCCGTGCCTCCAGGCACGTGCTCTGGCCAGCTAAGCCAGAGAAACAGGAGAGCTGGAGTTAAACTCACTCTCTGGCAGCAGTGGCACTGGTGCGCGGCGCGAGCAGACATGCTCTGAGCGTGATTCACACCCTTAGGAAACTGGTTAAGCAGAAGAGTAGCTCTATAGGGGTTGTAAATAGCCTGAAGGAGCACCTAGGCCACTGCAGGGCAAAGTCAAAGGATGACTTTCATCTTCTTCATGGGCTTAAGTCAAGGTGTATGACTTTTCCCAGAAATGGATCAGACAGGAGAGCCTGTAAGAACAAGGACAGCTGAGAGGAAATTGCAGAAGTTCCTTCTCTTAGGTGTTTAGCTGGTGGCTCTCCACTGCCAACGTGCTAGCTGATGGCAACTCCAGCTGGGCATCAATAACTACAGATGGAAACATGATGTCAGTGTGTTAGCAGGCATGCTGTGGAAAACATTGTGTGTAAGATCCTTTGACCATGTATATTTAATCCTAGGGGGATGGATTTAGCTGGGGTTCTTCAAGGAAGCAGCCTTTTCTATCACTGCAGCCAAATTTATCAGGGACTGCCATTTAATCTGTGCCACTAGATGCCTACATTAAGGTCCTGAAATTAGCAAAGCAGAAGTGGAGATGTATCAATAGCAGGTCTCTTTTTGAAAGAACTGTTAACCTTACCACCCCTGTTTGCCTGGAGACACTCGGCAGAGATTTGTCTCTCTTGTCTGTGCTTTTAACCTTAGCTGGGAGCTCTGTCTTCAGCTTTGAGAACTGATTGTGCTCCCAATTCTACTTAAGCTGGCAGAATATCTTTGTACAGCCCATTACAGCTGCCAGTCATCTAAATTACGTAATTTACATTGATTTGATTAATGCAAAGAGTTTTTATCCATTTAGAATGGAAAATGATTTTGCTGTTGCCATTGCGAACACAACTCTTTGAGACAAAGTAATGTCAGGCTTTAATTTGCCTTCCAAACATCTCTCCACTCCCCTTGCATGTCTCATGTTTCAGTGCAATACATTAGATCACGGAAACGTAGATTACTATGCAATCATCTGGAGGCATGTCATTGTATTCTTGCATGTTTCCCATCCATTAGCAATTATTTAAATAAAGCTAGTTTTTCTCTTCACACTTGCTAATTTTCTTCTATAAATAAGATGAAGTACAAACATACAATACAGCACAACCACTGGAGAAAATATTAAAGTGAAGCTCACCACCTCATCAAGCCAGGGATTGCTAAGTATTTATAAAGCAAATCAAATATTCTTCCTCAAAAATGAAGTCATTTGTTTCCCACACGGAAATTCCACCTCGATTAAGACATCTAAACTTCTATTTGGGTTACAGCTTTGTTTCAATATCACTTTTCTCCAATGACTGTGGCGAAATGTTATGATTAAGAAAAGTAGAAAATTGTATTTTATTGTGTCAGTGAAGTGGGGAGTGAAGTAAGAAAATGAAAGCTTATTTAAAAAGAAAGGAGAGAGAGAGTTTCTATTGCAGTTGGAAGGCAAAACTGAAATATCTGAAAAGCCAGATCAAATGCCACACAGAGAGATTCCCTCAGTGATTAATTAGTTTTTCAGAAAAAAAAACAAATGAACTGTGTTTTTTACTGTTTCTTGTGCTGCATCCCATGTTACGCACTTAACAATTCCAGGGGAGGCCCCCCACTCTTTCTGCCTCAAAACACTTTGCTCTGTAGACCTCGGTTCTGTCCCAGGCTACTTCCACCTACACAGAGTAATGAATCATAACAAAAAAAAAAAACCCTTGACATGCATGGGGAACAGCTATAATTATGGGAAGGCTATCGTGTTGGGAGTACCTTTTATAATGCTCTGTTTTGTGGCAGCAAGATTTTGCCATTCGGTTCTGCGCACTGCAGTCTGCATTGCTCAGTGACTTTGGGACAAAATGAGTTACTCATTCTCTCTCATTAAAAATATCTTGTATCTGGAAGGGAGCTGAGGATAGAAGGGGAGAGAGAAAGTATCATTATGGGCATGAATTGTCTTTCTGATCTAGTTTGATTTCATCCTCGCCTGTGGAATGTGAAATGTTCTGATTGACAGCAGAAATGCCATAATTAGATGACTTTTAATTACTGTTAGTTGTTATATAGGTTTGTCATGTAGCTGGTGCATGAGAAAAATTGCTCAGTAAAATTCTTATTTTACCACTACGGGAGCTTTGCAGCATTAAGAAGTGTATATACATTGCTGTCAAACCTCATGGTCGGCTCCAAAAACATATGTTCCTAAGGGAAAAAAAATCATATTTATCTACTATGGCAGTAACAGTGCTTTTATCTTGTACTAGAGACCCACTAGATCCTGACATAATTACCCTGCTTTGGCAGGCCTGACATTTAGTGGTGTACACACACCTGTGCACCACGCAAAACTGTAACTGCTGCTGAGCTGGGTATCCTAGCTCTGCTCATCACTCATGATAGAAAAATTGGACTAAGATAGAAATGAAAAAAAACAATATTTTTGATTATATTAATTTGAATGAAATTGGGAATAATATCTGCTATCCCTGTTAAAGTGAGAGTGGACCTACAGCTTTGATCTTGCAGCCCTTTCCTCTCTTGATGTTCACTGAAATGGCCATTCCTTGTGGGTCAGCAGGCTCCAGAGACCACCCGCGCGCTGCCTGCGCGCCCTGGGCTGGGGCAGGCTGAATTCCACTCCCAGCCAGGATTTTCAGCCATTCAGCCTTGGCGTTTG